GGGGCGCGGGGGCGGGGGGACCAGCGTGGGGGCGGCGGCGGGCGGCTCTCCGACGAGCCGAGCCCGGTGCCACTGAGCGGGGAAGGAAGAAGCCCTCGGGGCCGGGGCGGAGCTCATCAGAACGGTGCTTACGCCGAGGAGGCCCCGGGAGCTGCTCAGGGGAGGGAAGGGCCCACAAAGCGGCCCGGGGGCACGCAGGGACCGCCAGGGATGAAGCCGCTGAACCTACATAAAAGCAATGTTCGAAGCCCGCCTTCGTATCGATGCCTATACGTGATTTCAGAAGGATAAATGCAATTTTCCTCGATTCTCAGCATCCCGTTTTTCAGATTGCAGAGTTGTTCGGGCAGAAGCTGAATTTCTTTCCCTCTACATCAGCAATTAGAGGGCCATTCACAGCGGCAGTAAATTCACTTCATTGCAGGGCTGTTTTCAGCATGCTGCAGCGATTACCTATCTATAAATCTCCAAAACCCTAATTTCCACTTACATAAAAGTTCATCCAAAATAGCGTCAGCAATAGGACTGAGACTGCCTTCACTCCTACCTTTTTCAAACCAGACAGCTCTGCCTCATGAGCTCTGGTGAGGTAAATCCCCTGTCCTTGAGTTCCAGCATTAATGTAAGACCCTGAGACATCACACGGCAAATGCAGTACTGTGTTTGGCCACAACATGCCTGGTGAACCTCTGAAATGTCACCCTTTAGTGTCAAAATACATAAGACAGTTGAAAAAACATAATTTAAGAGGATTACAGAATGAGATTCATGGCCAGAAACAGCTTACTTCAAATGCCTGATAAAATACTAAATATATACTGTGCACGGTATTACTGTGTTCATTTAAAACCACAGACACGCCTGAGTAAGTGTTAAAGACGAGTGGAAGAGACAGAAGTACAATGGTCATTAGATGCATGTTTTCAGGATTGCACTACTCGTTCTAACATTGGTTGAAACATTCCTTTATGGGGAAAAAGTCTTTAGTTTTCTTAAAAGTCAAAAAGGTATATAAAGCTTTTAAATTCACTGGAAGCATTTTTTATATAGCTAAGATCAAAACAGGAGAATGAGCCTTTAAACGGTAACCAGACACACCACATCAAAACTTTCTGAAGGAGAAGACACAACAATAGGTTTAATTTTAGCAGTTCTTTAATGGTGTCAAACAGGAAACCATCTATTCTTGCATCTTTTCAATTGTTTCTTCCTTGTATTTGCCCTTCTCCTTGCCAACCTGGCGAGATTTGGCTTTACGCTCCAAGATCTTTTTGCGATCTTTGTCCAGTTTTAGCCTAGTGATCACCACCTAGAGAAAGGACAAAGAATTTAGTGTCTCTTAAGTGTTAAAGAACGGCAACCTGACAGAATTGTGGTAACACAGCACAGCCCAGGAAGATCACTGCTGACAGCCTGCACCAAATCACCCAGGTTTTATTTCGGCAGACTATCTAATTTGGTTTGAGTAGAACAGAGGTACTTAATTGCCTTCTGTATTTCAAAACACTGAGCTATATTAATTTTTTCTGGGTACATTCAGTGATCAGAACATATGGACAGTTTATTCAATGCACAGCCACAACATTTGTACAAACTGAAGAGCAGCCAAATTTCTATCCATCTACATAATAAAATAATTACTTTGAAGTAAATCTGATTTCCATTATGCTGCTCAAACATGATGGATGCTACATCCACCTAAAGCACAGCCTATAGCTGAGTCTTCTTCCCACCACCACAAAGGCAAGTAATGGATCGTTATTTCAATTTCTCCCATGTTTTAAGCAACACTACCTAAATTTTGGAACACTGGAAAACCATGCTTGCTGCTGCTGGGCATTATCATATTACTGTACCATTTGGAATAGCCAATACTTCTGACTAAACTATAGGCAACAAAAGCTTATGCATCGTAGTGACCCACATAAAGACACGGTAAAGAACACATCTGCCATTGAACAGTTGCAAAGTGGCCAGGCAATTATAAAGCAGCAGCAAACTGAAGCTTTGATTTTCAGCCCGGAAGCAGCTTTCAGTGCTCTCTGTGCCCCCTCAAATTGGCAAAGAAATAAATGTGTTGATATTACTGAAAGGAGTACTTTAAAAATACAAGTGACAATCAAATCCTAGAAAAATCATATAGGCTGCAGCAGAGCTGCACACTCCTGCTCAGTTATATTCTGCATCCAGGTCTCTCTTAACTGTAATTAATTCCTACCTCTTTACCTAGGAGACGTAGAAACTGTTCATACACCCCACCGCAAGTTTGCAACAAACGAAACATTCTTCTGGTCCGTTTGCATTAACAACCAGAATCTCTGTGCAAAGCTTGATCAAGTTCTGATTCCCAATTAGAGAAAACATTCACAGAAATAAAGGACCAGCACAAACCTCAATTTCTTCCACTGCTATTTACCACACAAGTACTACTTGCACTGGTTCCATTGCAATGTCACCTTGTCCCTCAAATGTTATTACTGCACACAGGTCATTATGTTGTTTTGGAATAATTCTGCACTCCCTCTGCTGAACATACCAACCATTTAGACTAGAAAACCTGCTACAACTGGATTTCTTCCACCAACATTCAGTATGCATGCCCACATGGCAAGGCTGAAGCAGACTAATTTCATCTGCTTCAAACCAAGCTTTGGCTAGTTGTTCTGTTTAGTTTGAAATGTTTTCCTGTTATGATCTAAACAGGCTTTGCCTGGTTTTCAAGAACTCTAAACATTGTAAATCACTTCAGGCTAAAACCAGATTCAGAAAAATTTTGTTCACAATAGTCCGCAGGAACAAATCACAATTCTGAGCATCTGTCTAAACATTCCTAATGCCTCCTTAACCAGTGCCAATGCCACATAGCAGAAATGAAGGACTGTTCTGAACTATTTTGTGCTTTAGAAACGCCCTGCTCTTCAAAAACATATTTTAGCAAGACTCCAAAGTCTGTAGAAGCTTCTCCACCAAATAAGCCCTAGAAATGCTGAGGAGTTCTTGGTTTCAGCTGTCACTTCTCTGCTATTCTGACATGGTAACATTTCCTTGTTTATTACATCCCCCAATGCTGTAGTGCCGTAAACAAAGTTCTACTTAGGCCAGCAGCAGTGCCTTCAATTGCCAACAAGAAGGTCTCATGCAATTCCGATCTCCCTTCGTGCATCGTACCTTGCTGGGATGGATCCCCACGTGGACAGTTGTGCCATTCGCCTTCTCACGCTGAACACGTTCAATGTAGATGACGTATTTTTTTCTGTACACCTGGACCACTTTGCCGATCTGCTGTCCTTTGTAGTGTCCCCGGACAACCTAAACAAGAACATAAGAAGCACATTGTCCCATACTCCAAAATGAACCCTTAAATAATTAGCAGACCTTAAGAAAGACTATCTAATTATCCCAACGGAAAAACAGAACTGCACAGGTTGAAATCCCAACTCTGCTCTTTGTATACACATGCTACAAAGACATCAATTACTGGATGGTAATTTCAGCAATTTCAGTAAGTTTCAGCAATAACTAAAATGGAAAATATAATGTATCAGAACCATATTTTCCCCTCATCTTCCCTGCAGTAAGTCCTAATGAAGGAACTCCTTATCTTCTCAACCAGAATAATTGCCAACTTCAACAGTTTTTCACCTATCATTGCATTTTAAAACAAAAAAGCCACTTAACTTGGATTCATTTCTAAACTGATCTCTCAAATATCACAGGTAGCAAACGGTCTACAAAAAAGAAAACAATCAATCCTTTCTTTTGTGCTTTATTGTTAAAAGCCTTTAATCCAACATAATAATCAATACACTTAACTAAAGGTGCCAGCACACTCACGCTCCTTGTATTTTGCCTCTCACTCAAGAAACTAAACAAGCCAAGTCTATGACTACATTAACTCGTACTATATCTGCAAGACTCATGGCAAAGCTCTAGCATCAATCTGAATTTGTCTAGCCCTTCCCTTTCACACAGGCTACAAACAAAAACCAAAACACAGATAGAAGTTCATGTGTACAACTTAAAAAAGACAGACAGCACCGCTACCTGGACTTCATCATCCTTTCGAATGGGCATAGAGCGGACATTGTATTTCTGCCGCAACTCCTTGGAGAGTGGGGAGGACATAATTTTTCTTCGAATGTGAGAAGGTGCATTGAAGTGTCGTTTGCGGTTCTTGCTGCGGTCTGAGGTGACAAATGGATTGAACTTCATTTTGGCTGCATAAAGAAAAACAATAGTTTGAGAGATGCTTGTAACTCATAGACACCGCACTTTATCATCTACCCACACAAAGTATGCTAGGATGTAAAAAAGCAATTTTGACTATTTTTAATCCCACCTCCAGTTCATATATCCTTACAAGCTTAACTTCAAATAAGGTTTAAGCCTCTTCCCTGACTGACGATGACCCTGTGATTGACAGATGTGCTATGCACATGCATGTCAGACCATTCTTTCTAATCCAAAGCTCGCTGTCAGGACGCCTAACACACTAATCTTAATTTTGCCCTGTAGTAGACAGCTTTTTCCTTTATAAAGCAAACGTATGTTTTGGACTTGCAAGACAGGCAACTCATACTGCTTTGGTATTGCAAATAACACATCACACCAGACTGGCGCACATAACAGATTTGTAAACCCAGAATACCTTTGGCCTTGCCTACATCTTAACGACTGCAACAGAAGATTGTCTGTCATGTCACCATTCATCCCACCTTATAAAGGCAGGTACATTAGACGTTGCTTTTGCTCCACTCTGCATCTTTTGGGTACTATGCACTTGCACCGGCTGTGCACGCTGGCCGGGGCTGTACGACAAGCCAGGGCACGCTCCACGTCAGGACACCACACGCTACCTCAACTATGTCAACCGACGAATCCATTACCAAACAACAGATCAAAGGTGCGAGAGCTCTACCCGGAGTCTGAGCTCCCAACCGCGCACCCGAGCGCAGCTCCTGCCCCACCAGACCCCCCGCAGAAGGCCGCAGGGCCGG